TAATGTTGTAGACCTTAGATATAAATTCTGTTAGATAGAAGAAAGAGGTCAGTTTGCATTGAGTAAAAAAAGAAAAATTTAATCCTAAACTAATCTATAATAATTTAGAACTACTGTTTCACATGCAAAAGTGGTTTGCCTTCCCGAATTTTAACTCATTTAATGAAGTGTCCCAAAACATGTCTATTTTTTAAGCTCGTCAAATACACGATGATAATTCCAAGTTATCCTCCATTTAAAGAGGGCCATGCTCGATTCCCGGTAACGTGTATTCCTTTATATGATTGATGATATAAAAACAGCAGCGTTTTCCTATCTTGTAAATGTATGCTGGACATGCCACTCCATAAATGGAAGGTCACTTGAAATTACGTTACTAGTCCCTTTAAGACACACAAGTCTAATGCTAAAAACTTTCATTCGCAAAAGTTAAAAACCGTTAAAAATAATAATATTATAACATCTTTATATTGCATAATACATATTCTTCTGCACATTCTCTTAAAAGGTTAACAATACAACAGCTACATACAGGGCGAGTAAACATTTTTTCCATGGTTCATGTTTTAGGATGAAAAATACTTAAGTATCAATGTAATTATCACGGAAAAAATCTTGCAATGCTTTCATTTAGAAACAATATTATTTTTAATAAAGTGTAACGTAAGAAACATTAAGGCTTGAACATTTTAATACAACGCAACGTATAGAACATTTTTTCAAATCTTTCTTATAAAAGAAACGAATAAACAGTTTTGATTGCCAGTTGTAAAAAAGTGTAACAAAAAGTTTTCACAATAACGTTTCGATAAATCGTAACGTAAGAAAAGGTGCATTTTAGTATATTTTCTAAACGTAATTAAAAGAGTTTATATTGGAAAAGTTAAGATAAAACGTAACGTTAACAAAAAATATTCTTTGCACTGAAATGCATTGCAACGTACAGAACCATGTCCCAATGACGTTTTATTAAAGCAAAACGTTTGTGATCTTTTAGATCTTAAACCAAGTGAAAATGTAACGTAAGGTTTACCTTGCATGAAAGTGAAACGTTAAAAAATTGTGGTTCTATTACATAAGCTTTAACGCAACGTTGGGAAAGTTTTTAAAACAGGAAATGCAAAAGCGTAACGGAGCTTACTGTTTTTTCACTAACATTTACTAAAGCTTAACGTTGTATAAGGTATTCAAGTGCAGAAAATGCATTACGTAACGTTACTCTATGCCATAACATTTCATAATGTGCAACGGAACGTTTCAAACGTTTATACTTTTGATGAACACTATCGTAACGAAAGCTAAAATCTTGAAAAATCAAAACGTTGACATCTCTACGAGCCCAGATTAAATTAATCTTTTCTCCGAGCATTCAACGATCCCTGCATTGAACATTGAGTAAAAATTCATGCTTGCTCCCACCATTCAAGCTGGAGAAATTCATCCTTTCTCTTAGCATTCAACCCAGAGTATATACATCTTTGCTCCCAGCATTCATCCTGGAGTAAATCCATCTTTGCTCCCAGCATTCTACCTTGAGTAAAATCATCTTTGCTTCCAGAATTCAACCCCCGGTTAAATTCATCCTTACTACGAGCATTCAACCCAGAGTAAACTCATCCTTGCTCTTAGAATTTAACCCTGAGTAAACTGATCCTTGCCTCCAGCATATAACCGGGAGTAAACTCATCCTTGCTCCAAACATTCAACCCGAGTAAACTATTCCTTGCTCCCGGCATTTAACCCGGAGTAAATTCATTCTTGCTCCCGGCATTTAACCCAGAGTAATCTTTTCTGGTTCAATTTTGTTTTAAGAGTATGACTCTGCTACAATTGTGACTTAAAATATTTAAAGAAATCATTGTAACTTGAGCCACAAACATACCTAGTTCTTCTTTTAGGCTCGATAATGTTCAATACAGATTCTAAGTCACAACTCTATGTCGCTATTCTTAGTCACAATGTTTGTTGCTTAGTCAAAAAGAATGTCAAAGTAAGCATTCCATATCTATGTCTATTCTGTTCATAATAAGATTTAAATTTCCCATATTTTTTTTGTAGTATACTCCTTGAGGTCATTAACTATTTGCCATTTTCAGCAAACTATTATGAAATTTGACAAGAATAAAAACCATCTACAACAATATCAAAAACAATGGGCCTCAGAATAATAAGAATTTGTATCGAACATATTCAGCGTCTAACTGCTGAAACGGACTACTATAAAAGAAATTGTTGGATGCATTGCTCATTACTACGCTACCCTTTAAAGCCTTGTCAAAATAAAGACTAAAATAATTAAAAATTTTTTAATATTTTCAACTGCAGTTTCTCTATAGAAATGACTTGCGGATTTCTGCTTCCACAAACACTAAAGTTAAAAGTCAGAATGCGACACTTTTCAATATAGAAGAACAATGTGATTTAATTCATAATAATTTTTTTCCAAAAAATTACAAACTAAATTATTTATCCTTTCTGATCTGATTTTAATTCGATCGGAACAATTTTCACCAAAAAAAATATAATTATTATGGATTCAAAGTTGATTAAATTATAAAAAACTTCATTTTAAGATTTCGAATCTTAAAATCATACAAACGTTACTCACATGAATTCAAGTCATATACAATATACATTAAATAATAACATTTTTAACCATAAATCATCGGTGAGTTATTGCTACTTTTATTCAAACTGAATAACAAAATTTAATTTTGATTCAATAATTAGAAGCAAATATTTAATTTCCAATCTGCAGATTCAAAATTGACAATGTTTCCGCTACAGGTCCCAGAACATTAATACCACTGTATAAACCCAACCTAAAAACAACAGAGTTAATATATATACAAAGAAAAAATCGCCCCCTCCCCTTTTCGCCCCTCTCTCCAAATACAGAGTTTCCCAAAAATGTTTATTTTTTTATATTCAAAGTCAGCTCTATACTTTAGTTATTTCAAGGAGTACATTTTTTCATTCTAGGGCTCATACTTTTTTTGGCAACACAAAAATGATTTCCCGGATTTTTCACATTTCATTTAAGTTTTATTTTCCTTTTTTCTTTTGTTTACGTAAGTCGTTCGTTTGAAATTACTAAGCTCAAAAAACCTTGATTGTAAAAGTTTGACGAAAATTGAGCTTGTATTACTCACACGTTTAAGTGGGCGCAAAATACTCCAATACCTGAAAACTGTGGTAAGAATTTCCTCCGCCTTCTCCTGAGATACAATCACCACGGCGGATAAATTCTCCAGGGCAGAGCCAACTACTCCCTCGTCTCCGCACTAGAACGATAACAATTTAATATTTTTACATTATCATAACATTTTTGTTGGTCAACGTTTTCGAACATTTTTTATTTTTGATGAAAAAATCTTTCATAATAATATATTTTACAGAAGTGAAAACTGATTTTGGTTGAACTCATTCTCTCAAACGTTTATAAATCTTAAAAAGAGCAAAATCAAAAGGTTTGACCTCTAAAGGGACTGTCATTGTAATTTCAAGTGGCCTTACAACTAAAGAGGGCCTTACCCGATTAACAACGGTATCCTTTAAACCTTCGTTTTCTAGCTTGATAAGTGTTGAAGTATGACAATTTCCTCCATCGTTATAGAGAAACCGCATTTGAAAATATTCAAATTTAGAAAGAAGATGATGGATATCTCAAGCATTCTTTATCAGACAAAGCTTTAAAGGGTACCTTTGTGAATCGGACATGTCTTAAATAAAGAGTCACTTGAAATTAGGTCTACAATCCCTTTAAAGATCAGCTTATCTTCCTAAGAGAAGAAGCTAGGTTTAACTCATGCAACTGTATATTAAAAAGTGTACCTCTAGAGCTGCTAGATATGAAGGTAGAACAGCTGCCCACGTGGAGGGGGAGTGACGGAGTAGACGAGTTAAACAGGAATATGCGACAGTACGTACACCAGGACTACTGGAGGAGATATTGTCCAGTAGTTCATCCAGGTAGTTAATCAGCATTTCAGGTTTAGGTACACACATACTTAACATATCCTGAACATATTTTAGGTTTAGGTACACACATACTTAACATATCCTGAACATATTTCAGGTTTAGATACACACATACTTAACATATCCGAAACATATTTCAGGTTTAGGTCCACACATACTTAACATATCCTAAACATATTTAAGGTTTAGGTCCACACACACTTAACATATTCTAAACATCTTTCAGGTTTAGGTACACACATACTTAACATATCCTAAACATATTTAAGGTTAAGGTAAACACATACTTAACATATCCTGAACATATTTCAGGTTTAGATACACACATACTTAACATATCCTGAACATATTTCAGGTTTAGATACACCATAGCATATACTGAACATATTTCAGGTTAAGGTACAAACATATTCTGAAAATATTTCAGATTCTGAACATATTATAAAGATGTTGTAGACTTTAGTACAAATTAACCTGCATGAGACCAACCAGCTGGTCTTGAGTTTCTGCATGTACAAGTTCATTGTACAGATATTCTCCTTCCTTGTCTAGCGGCACAACACTCCCAGGGATCAACTACGGTAACACAGTTCATGATTTAAATAATGGTTGTTATGTAGTTTATTTTTAACCGATCCAGTACAGGATGAAACTTCAGACTTAAAGCTTAGTTGTCAGTTCCTGACTTCCTGCATGAGTGTACAAGGTACACTTGGCTTTATCTTTGCTGAATCATTTAGTACAACATGAACAAATAATATAATTCAATTCATTGATTCAAAAAGCTAGAGATTGTCCGAGAGCTCCTTGATCTAACCATTAAAGTCCCATCCTATACACTAGACACCAATACAGAAATAAATGTTGTGATAGTAAAAGGACAAATCCAATCAAATTATGAAAATGATAAAATCAATTTTTTATTAATGTTTGTTATAAGTTGACTTTAACGCGAAGAAAACAAATCACATAGGGCTGTGAATTCCAAACCCTCCCCCAAATAATAAATAAAAATAGCATTTGTAAGAATGTTTTTTTTCTTTACCTGTGAATTGAGTTGGTTACGAGTGGATGAAATAGATATATCCTGAAATAAAATTAAATAAAAAACAATGAGTGATACTGTTGAAATAAATCTATAGCAATTCAAATCAAAACAAATCTGACTTTAAGCAATTAAAGCAATTTTGGTAACATAAAGTTATAGCAATTGAAGGCTAATCGGTCAAGGGGTTCCTGAGTTTGATCGGATATCCAAACAGACAAACAGATATACTACTTTATAAATATAGATGATGTGTGTATTTTATAAGACAATAAAACTGCCGCAAATGCGGGATTTTGGTGGATTTGTAAGCAACAAATGTTTATTTTTTTATTTTAGCAAAACTCTAAATAAGATGAAACAAGATTGAAACAATTTGATTCCAAATTTAATTCGGATTTAATATTTCGTTGCAAAGTTAAATAAAACAAACTAGTATAGTTTTAAATCATTAAAGTTTTATTCTAGAAAAAAAAATCCAAAACGATTAACAACATTTAATGTACCTTCTGTATCTCCTTGATCTGTTTCATCTCCTGGCTGGTGGAGAAGGACGAGGAGAGAAGGTTCCTGAGGGAGTGCATCTTGTCTGTCCCTGGAGCAGAGGAGAGCTGAACTAGTACCCCGGCATGTCGGCTTAAAAACTGGGAGGCCTGGATCAATATAATATTTTATTTCATTGACAGTCTCTTTAAAATTTCCAAATATACAGGGTGGCCAAAACTTTTTTGAAAAAATCCGTACAAAAATCCGTACATTTTCAGAAAAAATCCGTACAATCCGTACAATTTTCGAGAAAAAACCCGCACAATCCGTACATTTTTTTTAAATCCGTACAATCAGTACAATTTTCGAAAAAAATCCCTACAATCCGTACATATGATATTCTAAACAGGGTCTGCAAAACCATATTCTAAACTGGGTCTGCTACACCATAATATAAACTGGGTCTGCTACACCATATTCTAAACTGGGTCTGCTACACCATATTCTAAACTGGGTCTTCCACACTAAAATTCTAAACTGGGTCTGCTCAAATGAACACTTCTGGAACGTATTCTCAAATGAACACATTTTGATTGTCTTTTGAAACATTAATCAATCTAATATTATTTAGAATGCAGAAAATGAGTAAAACTAACTTCATTTTGACGAGAATTTTTTTTTAATTTTCATGAAAAATTTGCTAAAATGAGTGAAAATAAAAAAACAGTGTATTTCCAGGATAAAAATCCAGACAATCCGTACATTTTGGCCACCCTGAATTATATAACTATTTGACTGTACCGGACACTCCATGCAAAGATTGCAATGCCCGATTTACAACGATTTACCCTAGAAACCTTAATCCGATCAGAAACATGGAAGATACCGTTGTTTTCCTGGCTGGAAAAATGTTTATTTCTATGAATTTCTCAATTGTTTCTTATAAGCAAGAAATGCGCAAGTCACTTTTGCAGAGAAATCGCAAATGACAATAAACAGTTTAAAGAGAGAAAAACAAGAATATCTAATTCCTACTTGATCAGATTAAGGTTTCAAGTGTACTGTTCTAAATCGGGCACTATCATCTTTGCCATGAAGGGTCACATGACATTACGCGTACAGTATACAAATTATACAATACCCTAGCCGCGTACCGTATACAAATTATACAATACCCTAGCCGCGTACAGTATACAAAATATACAATACCCTAGCCGCAGCGCTGCCTCCGTGTGCCAACCAGCTGAGTAAAAACTGGACGAATCTATCGATCAATCCGTAGAACGTATCTCGTCTAAACATTTTCAAATTATTTTTAAGAAAAAAATTACAAAAAAAGATTAAAATAAAATGTGAAATTTACAAAACTTGATAATGTCTATGCAAAAACATTTTTTTGCATTCAGCTTTTATAAACATCTATTATGGGAATTTTACTTTAAGTAAATTTCCTTAACTTCCCTGTAGAGTAGTTTTAAACCTTTTTAACTACAAGTGACCTATCAAAACATAACTAACGTAACATCATTAAATTTAACTAGTCTATTAACAGCTCAATTACCTATTAAAAGCTAACTTATTAAAAACTACCCTATTAAAAGCTCACTAACCTAATAAATACTAACTAACCTATTAAAAGTTTAGCTCACTAACCTATTATAAGCTAACTTATCTATTAGAAGCTAACACCATATTAAATAATAACTAGCCTATTAAAAGCTAACTAACCTATTGAAAGCTAACTAACCTATTGAAAGCTAACTAACCTATTGAAAGCTAACTAACCTATTGAAAGCTAACCAACCTATTGAAAGCTAACTAACTAACCTATTTAAAGCTAACTAGCCTATTTAAAGCTAACTAACCTATTTAAAGCTAACTAACATATTAAAAGCTAACTAACCTATGGAAAGCTAACTAACTAGCCTATTTAAAACTAACTAACCTATTTGAAGCTAACTAACCTATTTAAAGCTAACTAACCTACTAAAGGCTAACTAACCTATTTAAAACTAACTAACCCATTTAAAGCTAACTAACCTATTTAAAGTTAACTAACCTATTTAAAGCTAACTAACCTATTTAAAGCTAACTAACCTACTAAAAGCTAACTAACCTATTAAAGTATGATTGACACATATCAATATATGCTTGAAGTGCTCTCTCTAAATGTTCTGAATACTGCGCCTGGAAAATACTTGGTTTGGCCAGCTCTAGCAATCCAAAGGTTATTGTGTACAACATTAGATGATTCCGGGACCTAACAAAAATAAAAAATTGCAAATAAACAATTAGATTTTCTCAAATTTTGTAACATTACAGAACAAAAAGTTATGAAGTAAAAAAATTGTTTTTTCTCACATTTTAACATTTTGAATCTTTTCTAAACTAAAATTAAACGTGTAAGAAGATTTTTGTTTCTTTAGGGTGTCTCATAGATCGCCAAAAAGTTTGATTTACGATTTTCGGGACAAATCAGAAAAACTAAGAATAATGAATCATTTAGAAAAATAGAATGAGGCTAATATAAATATTTTTCTTGCTGAAAATGCAAGGTTTTTCGAGTATTATGGGTTTGTTTTGGAGCTAAGGCTCGGAGATAATCTAATAGAGCACTTATATGGTAATGATTTCAGCACAATAAGAATTTGTTTCAGAATGATATTGTAACACACTAGTTGAACTAGATAAAATCGCTTGCAACTACCTTACTTATTAGGAAACCAGTTTAGCTCATTAGGAACTAGTTTAGCTCATTAGGAAACCAATTTAGCTCATTAGAAACCAGTTTAGCTCATTAGGAACTAGTTTATCTCATTAGGAACTAGTTTAACTCATTAGGAACTAGTTTATCTCATAAGGAACTAGTCTAGCTCATTAGGAACCAGTTTAGCTCATTAGGAACCAGTTTATCTCATTAGGAACCAGTTTAGCTCATTAGGAACTAGTTTAGCTCATTAGGAACTAGGTTAGCTCATTAGGAACTAGGTTAGCTCATTAGGAACTAGGTTATCTCGTTAGTAACTAGCTTAATTCATTTTGAACTAGTTTAACTCTTTAGAAACTAGTTTATCTCATTCGGAACTAGTTTCACTCATTCGGAACTCGTTTAACTCATTAGGAACTAGTTTAACTCATTAGGAACTAGTTTAACTCATT